TTGGGTTTTCTAGGTATAGGATCATATCATCAGCAAATAGGGATAGTTTAACTTCTTCCTTACCAATTTGGATGCCTTTCATTTCCCTTTCTTGCCTTACTGCCTTGGCTAGGACTTCAGTACAATTTGAATAGAAGTGGTGATAGCGGGCATCCCTGTCTGGTTCCTGTTCGCAAGGGGAATGGTTTCAGTCTCTCTCCATCAAGAATAATGTTGGCTGTTGGTTTTGCATAAATGCCCTCTATTATATTGAGGAATGTCCCTTCTATTCCTATTTTGCTGAGAGTTTTGATCAAGAATGGTGTTGGATTTTATCAAATGCAAATTTTTAACTTTTAAAAGTGGGAAATAAATCTTCCCCACAATACTTAAAAAAGCCCAACTTTATATCCCTAAGACACAAATTACCAAGGAAGTATTTTTTCCTTCTCAGGTGACCATTGTTGAAAAAGCTGACAGTTCCAGTGTCCTGCCCAGCCCTCTGTCCATTAGCACCAAGAGTAAAATGACCTTCCTGTTTGCCAACCTGAAAGACCGAGATTTCCTGGTTCAGAGGATCTCAGACTTCCTCCAGAAAACACCCTCCAAGCAGCCAGGCAGCAGCAGTGGTGAAAGGAAAGCCAGTGTTGTGGATGCAGCCCCCGAGGTGAGAGGGGGTCCCTGGGAACAGCGGGTGGGAAGGCAGGGCCAGAGAAGAGCCAAGGGGCTACCTGGGCCACCTCAGAGCCTGACCCCTTGGTACCTGATGAGGGCCTCTGGCTAGAGAAGTCCCTGCTCTGTGCTCCCGGCTGGAGAGCCTAACTCAAGCCCAGCATCCTGTCATTGAGGTCACCGGGCCTCTCTGCACCCCTCTCACACTCCCCAGTCATCCTCCTACTCAGGATCCTGTCTCCTCCTAAGCATTACCCATACATACATCTTCCCAACTCCACCTCAAGTCCCATTTCACATGGGAAACCTCTGGTCACCCTCATCTCTCCTGTATGAACTTCTGCTGCACTGAGAGCAAGATCCACACCAATTAAGCCTTAATCAGTGCTCCGTATTTCGGGTGCTAATGTATCTGAAACCATAAGATCTCCCCAATCCCATAGACCCTTAATGAGTCAGAGGCTATTGACCAGCAGCCTGCAGGCCAGAGGGGCCCACCAACAAATTTGGTTTGGTTTGGCTTACTCACCTGGTAGTCATACAGTATGGAGTTCTTACAGATAAGGACCTATACCTCTCTCTCTTTTTTTTTTTTTATTTTGTTGTTGTTGAGAATATGCACAGCAAAACATCCCAATTCAACAGATTCTGCATGTACAATTCAGTGACATTGATTACATTCTTCAAGTTGTGCAACTATCTCACCCTCCTCTGAATTATTCCTCTTCCGTTTACATAGACTCACTGCCCCCTAAAGTTTTTATCTAATCTTTTGAGTTGCAGTTGTAAAGTTGATCACACAAATAGATAGTTCTTAAAAGAGCCATGCTCAAAGCAGACTTTTTTTTTTTTTTTTTTTACTAATTAGGCTAAACTATTGTCTTTAAGAAGACTTCAGGAAATATATTTGGTTTAAGGATTATGTCAGGGCAATAATTTGGGGGTTCATCCAGCCTCCATGGCTCCAGAAAGTCTGGAGTCCATGAGAATTTGAAATTCTTTTCTGAATTTTTCCGCTTTTGATCCGGATTCTTCTGTAGAATCTTTGATCAAAATGTTCACCATCCAGTTCTCCTGGTCTCATGGCAAAGGAGACAGTTGTTCACAGAGGCAAGGACTCCTCTTTGAAGACTTAACTGCGGTACCATTATTATACCAACAAAATTAACTGTAATTCCTTAGTATCATCAAATACTTGTATTCACATTTCCCCAACTATAGATGTACTTTTTATAGTTTGATTGTTTGAAGTTAAATACATCCAGGTCCTACATACATTATGAGCGGTTAATATGTCTTTCATTATTGTTAGCCACTATAAGGTCGGCCCCCAACTTATGGCGACACCATGCAAAATGTATTTGGACCATTGTGATACATAGGGTTTTCTTTGGCTAATTTTCAGAAGTTGATCACCAGGCCTTTCTTCCTAGTCTGTCTCTTAAACCTTTTTTAATCTATAGCTTCTGCTCTGTTTCTCTCTCCTCTCCCCTTCTCCCCTCTCCCCTCCCCTTCTCTTTTCTCCCCTCCCCTTCTCTCCCTCTCCCCTTCTCTCCCTCTCCCCATCTTTCCCTCTTTCCCTCCCCCTTCCCCTCCCTCTCCCTTTCCCTCTCCCTCTCTTTGGCTAATTTTCAGAAGTTGATCACCAGGCCTTTCTTCCTAGTCTGTCTCTTAAACCCTTTTTAATCTATAGCTTCTGCTCCATTTCTCTCTCTCCTCTCCCCTTCTCTCCTCTCCCGTTCCCTCCCTCTCCCCTTCCCTCCCTCCCTGTCTCCCTCCCCCTCCCTCTCCCTCACCCTCTCTCCCGGTATTTTATTGAAGGAATCAGGTTATTTGTGCAGAAGAGTTTCTCAGTGTCATTTTTGCTGATTGCATATCCTGTAGGCATTTAATGCCTTCCTTTGTCCCTTGTTCCCTATAAGTTAGTAGTTGAATAGTGAGATGCTGATCAGGTTCAATTGGGGGTTTTTGGCCAGGTCTACTTCTTAGGCATGATGAAGGTGCTGTATATACAGCATCTGGCTTAGGTATGTTATCAGTCACTGATAATCACTGCCTAGATCCAGTGTTCATTTGTGATTGCAGAATGGTGGCACTTTGATCCTGTCAGTCCTCCTTCTGTTTATGAGCTGTAATACTTCTATAAAGATAACTTTCCCCCGTCAAAACTATTGAGTTACTCTGAGACACAGTTTATACAGGAAAGGCAGAGTAAATGTTTTATTTTGTCCATTTATTCATCAGTTGTCAAAATGAGTTGGTTTTCTAGTATCCTCCTTCTTTTTGTTTATTTTTTATTATAATTATGAACTTACAGATTTAAACAACTACATGTGTTTCAGTTAGCTAAAATTGTCATCCTTAAGGATGTTTAAATTGTCCCATCTTTAACCAGGGGAGCTTACTCAGATTGGCTCCTGAGTCCTTTTGACACAACCCTTGTGGTCTTTGATTGCTTCCTTGCTTCCTGGTATGACAAGCTGGGTACATTGTTGTCCAATCTAAATTTGTGAAACACTTAACTGTTAAAAGAGTTCAAGTAAAGATCCACATATCTGGCTCCTCTGGAGAAATCAGCAGCACTGGGTCCTGGGACCCATGTTCCCACTGGGCGGCAGCAGGTTGCAGCTGAGGGGTGTCCTGTGCTCTCCAGCTCCCTAGAGCCCACCTAGTCTGGCACGTGGAGGCCTTTAATTTTTCTAGCTCTATAGTAGATGCTTAGTAAATTATTAAATAGATTAGAACTGGGTGGGAAGGGGATGGGTGGAGTCTATGTGGATTAGAGACATTAAGAAAAGTCTCTTAAAAATTTGGAAATTGATAGTGGTGATTGGTGCACAACATGGGAATATTATTAATGTCCCTTAATTATATGTGTAAAAATGATTAAAGTGGAGAACATTTTCTTATCTGTATTTCACTATGATAAAAAAAAATTTTTTTAAAGGTTTTTAGAGGAAATTGGGCTTGATCTGAGATTTCAAGAGTGAGGCAGAGCTGGGTGAAAGGAGACATGAGCAGGGTTGTTGAGCTGCATTGCTATTTGAAGGCTCAACATCACAAGTTCCAGGGCCAGACCACCAGAGTGACCACGGACCTATGCCCATCTAGCACACACCATGCTCAGGGTGACTCTGCTCTGCCTTCCCAAGGGGCTCTGTTCCTGGGCTCATGGGGGCCCCGGGATGTTCAGAATCCCCTCCTGCTGTGGACACTCTCCTGACAGCTCCAACAGGCATGGCTTTGATGCCCATACCTGAACCAAGCAGGGTGGGGTGGGAGGGCAGTGCTCACACTGGCTGGGTCTGAGAAGGGTGACTTCTACTGACGAAGGGTTCAGCACTACTGCTTCCCAGGGCTGGTGGGAAATCACAGCAGTGGGCACAAGGCAGGTACCAACAAAAGCTACCCAAGGCAGAAGCTTGGCAGAAGGAGCAAGGATAGAAAGCAGGTGAGGAGTCGAGCTTCCCACACTGACAGCTTTGCTAGACAACATGTGCCCAAGAGACCCTGACTCACCATTGTGGTTGAGCTGGATTATAGGAAGGGGAGTGTAGGTGTACAGCTGGCCAGAGAAGAGATATGGGCTGGGCTACAGCCACAGAGATACCACTAGGCCCTCCTGACTGCCCAGCCAGCTTCTTCTCTCTTAGTGTATCACCTACTCCCACCCAAGACCCTTCCTTGCCAAGTGACTTGGTCTACCTCTGTGGTTTGATATGCACATGGATGTCCCCATGGTGGGTTGCTCAGTTGTTAGGTGCTCCCCTGCCCCATTTTGTTTTCTAGTCTCTCTCAGCTCCTCAGGAGCTATTGGCGCAGCCTACCAGCCCATCCTCCACCCTCAGTGGCTGCCAGAGCTTCTGTACACAGAAGGTGCCAACTGCATCCCAGGGCCTGCTCAAGCTTTTCCAGAGAAACTCATCCACAGAGGTCCTAGGGGCCAAGGGGGTAAGTACTGAGGTTGGTGCTTTGGGCAAGGGCATGCACAGATAGGAGTGGCACTGAGTCAGAGCCAGACTGGGGGCTGTGCTTCCTCAGCCAGGCCTCCTTCAGGCTGACCTTGGGCAGTGCCCTTCTGGGACTCTGAGATGGAGCTCTGGGCAGTCAGAGTTGGCCAACAGCCCAACTGTCCTCAGTGGGTGGGTGGCTGTATCTAGGGCTCTGAAAGGGAAGACCCGTAGCTTCTGAGTGACTCATCATCTTCCTTCTTGATGATTTGGGAGGGCATGTGACCAGTACAGCCTGGACCTGGCCTGCGTTTTTCTGATAATAACTATGAAATCTAAGGTTGCTGGTCAGCCCTTGTAGATGATTTATGTGGAAGGCTTCTAGCACTGCTGGAGAGGGAGGAGAGGGGTCTTTGTTTTCTGAGCAGTCTGAAACCATCCTGATAAAGCAACAGCACTTTACCCACATGTCCCCGTCTCCTTTCTGGCAGGCCAAGGAGAAAATGAAAGAGGAGTCATGGAACATTCACTTCTTTGAGTATGGGCGTGGCATGTGCATGTACCGCACTGCCAGGACCCGGGAGCTTGTCCTAAAGGGCATCCCCGAGAGCCTGCGGGGGGAGCTATGGCTCCTCTTCTCTGGTAAGTGGGGTCCATGCCCCAGCCCCAGCCACAGACAGCAGCAAGCATAGCCTATATACTTCTCTCCTGTGTTAGTTCATTTGATCCTTGGGCCACCTCCTGGAGTGTCCAGGCAGGAGCTGCTGATCCCTATTCTGGAGGGGCAATCAGAGCCCCAAAGATCAGGGAAGCTTATCATGGCCTCTAACCAGTAATGGGTCCTAGGGAGCAGATGCCAAGGGTGGACACCTGCCAGCCCGGGGCTGCCTTCCACCCGCAGTAACCAAGCAGGCTCCCTTGAGCCTAGTTGCTTTGGGACAAACGCTGGCAACATTTGTAGTCCAAAATGTTTGAAGTACTTCAGGGCAAGGCTAGTCAGCCATTTGAACTTCCTGGATGGATGCATCTTCCTGGGTGCATGAGGGAAGCTTTGCTCATACCTTGTAACTGACACAAAGGTCGCCCTCTTCTGGTGTTCACTGATGTCTCCAGTGTGCCCTGCCTGCTGTTGCCTCCAGAGTGCTGGAGGAGGAGAGAGGCAGCTGCCCCTGTGTCTTCGCAGGGGCCTGGAATGAGATGGTGACTCACCCTGGCTACTATGCTGAGCTGGTGGAGAAGTCCACAGGGAAGTACAGCCTAGCAACAGAGGAGATTGAGCGAGACCTGCACCGCTCCATGCCAGAGCATCCCGCCTTCCAGAACGACCTTGGGATTGCTGCGCTCCGGCGGGTGCTAACTGCCTATGCCTTCCGGAACCCCACTATAGGCTACTGCCAGGTAAGGGACATGGCAGGACCTGGATACATCAGGTCCCCAGAGCCTAGGCCTGCAATCATGGGAAGAATCCCAACAGTATTGTAGTATATAGTACAGCATGGCTGAACCTTGAAAACATTGTGCTGAGTACAATAAGTCAGTCCAAAAAGGACAGATTGTGTGTGGTGCCACTTGTATGAAATATCTAGAATAGGTAAATGCATAGAAACCAAAGTTTATTAATGGTTGTTAGGGGCAGGAAGGAGGGGAGAAGGAGAGTCATTGCTTATCAGCACTGAGTTTCTGTTAAGGGTAATGGAAAAATTTGGAAACAGATAGTGATGATAGTTGTACAACATGATAAACATAATTAATGTCACTGACTGTACATGTAAAACAACATTGAAATGACAATGTTTTGTTACATAGTCTCCTGCCCTTCAAGAGCTTATGTCCAGTAGGGGAAACATATTTGAATAAAAATTATGATGCAGGAAAATAAAACAGTATTAAAGGAGCCCTGGTGGTGTAGTGCGTGAGACATTTGACTGCTAACCAGAAGGCTGGCAGTTCAAACCCACCATCCACTCCTCGGAAGGAAGATTGGGCAATCTACTTCTGTAAAGATACTGCCTCTGTAAAGATACCACCTCAGAAACCCAAGGAGCAGTCACTATGAGTCAGGACCAACTCGACAGCAATGAATTTGGTTTGATATGGGAAGGGGGAATAGGGAGTTGATTAATGAGTACTGAGTTTCTGTTTGGAGTGACAAAAAATTTTGGAAATAAATAGTGATGATGGTTGCACACAATTATGTAATTAATGCCACTAATGATACATTTAAAAATGGTTAAAATGGCACATTTTATATTTATATATTTTACCCCCAATAAAATTTTCTTTAAAATAGGCATAGAGAACCAGAAGGAAATATATGTGTGTGTGTGTCTATGTGTATAGTTTATGTATGTATATGTATGTGTGTGTGTGTTGTAGGTGTGTATTAGTTGCTCATCTCATCCCCATGCCATGTACTAAGTTGTCCTTTTTGTGCTTCTAGACTGGGTCCTGATGACATTTGATTTTAAATCTTGTGAGCATTTTCTTGGCCATGTCACATGGCTTCTCCTTGTCCTTGCCTGCATCTGTGTCTCAGGGAAACAGGCCAACTCCCCAAAATTCATTTCTGTAGGACAAACATTCTGAATGACCAGTTGCTCATTCACAGAAAGCTATTGTATGGAAAATGAGTTAGTTTGCCAGTCAATTGGAACTTTTTCTTTAAAATCTCTGTCAGAGGCTTCGTGAGGTCCCAGTTTGCTGCAGCTCCCTGTGGTGGGGATCCAGCCATCTATTGCAGCCACACATCCCCTGTGTGGGGATCCAGCCATCTATTGCAGCCACACATCAACTTGGCTGTGCTTCTCACTCGGATACCAGACACAGCTTCACAAAAGTGTTCTGTGCTGATGTCCTGCCTTCTTTGTTTTCTGGAGCACCTGGCACAGTGGTTAAGGCATTCATCTGCTAACTGGCAGTTCAAACCCACCAGCCACTCCATGGGAGGCAGATGAGGCAGTCTGCTTTCATCAAGATTTACAGCTTTGGGAACCCTATGGGGCAGTTCTACTCTGCCCTATAGGGTCACTATGAGTCGGAATCAGTGCCTTGACAGTGGATCTTCTGGCTCCATTTGAGAGTAGCCTCTGACTGCTATTGCCAAATTGATTTCCTGCAAATTGCCTTTTGACATATTGCCCTGGAATTGGACCGGGACAGTTTCTTAATGATGGATCCCAGTTTCTTAATGCTTATAGCAGGAGGCTGGTGCAAGTGAGCCCCTTTGGCAGAGGCAAGGGCAACAGTTTGACTTGGTAGCTGATGGTGTAGGCCTCACTGTCTTATTTACCTAGTGCTACTATGACAAAAATATCACAGATAGGCAGCTTTAAAGAACAGAAATTTATGTCTCACAGCTCTGGAGGTTAGGAGTCCAAACTGAGGGCATCAGCTCCTGAGAAATGTTCTTTTTTGTCTCTTTCATCTTCTGGTAGCTGTCTGCAGTCCTTGGGGCTCCTGGGCTTATAGATGCATCTTCCCCTATGTATATCTCTCTCTGTGTCTGTTCTCCTTGTAAAACACCACTCAGAAAGGGTTAGATTTAGGACCCACCCTACTCAGTATGTCCTCATTAACATAAGAAAAAGGGAGGGGGTCATATTTACAGGTAACAGGGCTTAGGGCTTCCACATTTCTCTTTGGGGGACACAGTTCTCCCGTCTGTGTGCTCGTAGGCCATGAACATTGTGACGTCAGTTCTTCTGCTCTACGGAAGTGAGGAGGAGGCTTTTTGGCTGCTGGTGGCCCTCTGTGAGCGGATGCTGCCTGATTACTATAACACCAGGGTGGTAGGTGAGTGTCCTGGGGGCTGGCTGGGGTGAGGAGGCATGCCCCCTGTACCCCTTCCCAGTCCTGAGTTGAGGCTTCAGCTGCCTGGTGACTCTCTGGGCTGGTGGCCTCTCTGGGCCAGGCATCATGCTAGCAGTCTCTGTGTGAGCTCACCCAGGCCCCATCACCGTCTTGCGGGCCACATGTATTCACAGTTTCCATATACAGATCAGGAAACCGAGCCAATCACATGCTGAAAGTAGAGGGCCAGAGACAGCCCACTGCTGCCTGATGCCACAGCCCAGACCCTTACGAATGAGTGGAAGTGATAGAGGATAGTACGTATTTGGTGTTTTTTTAAATGTCTCTTTTGGGCCTAAAGCCCCATCAACCTAACTTTTTAGAAGCTTTTTTATTATAGAAAATTTTAAATCTACATACATAGAGAGTATAGTAAAACCCCGCCTTATACCTACTATCCAGCATTAATAATTATGAACTCATAGCCCATGAAATCTGAGCTATTCAGTAGAAATTGGCTTGCACCTTTATGCAGGGACATAAATAATTGAGTCTGTTCTTCTAGGATGTCCTTCCCCTACTGTCCTAGTTTCCTAGGGCTGCCGTAACAAAATACTACAAAGTGGATGGCTTTAAAGAAACAAGAATTTATTATCTCACAGTTCTGGTGGCTCAAAGTCCAAATTCGAGGCATCAGCAGGGCCATATACTCACTCTCTTTGAGCTGTAGGCTTTTTTTTTGCATTCCTTGGCTTGGAGATGATCTTCATGTGGCTATCTTCCCTGACTCTGTATCTCTGCTCCCCTTTTATAAAACACCACTCAGAAGGGATTAGGATCCACCCCTGGTGGTGTAGTGCCTACGGCATTTGACTGCTAACCAGAAGGCTGGTGGTTCAGTCCCCGCCAGCCACTCCTTGGAAGGCAGACTGGGCAATCGACTTCCATAGAGATGTCACCTCAGAAACCCAAGGAGGGGTCGCTATGAGTTGGAATCAACTTGATGGCAGTGAGTTTGGGTTTTTTTTGGTCTACTCCAGTATAACTTCATCTCATGTTAACTTAACTTATAACATTTTCAGAAAAAGACCTTTTTTTTTTTTTTCAAAATCAAGATCATGTTTACAGGTACAGAGGTTAAGATTGCAGCATATCTTTTTGAGGGGCCCAGTCTAATCCATAACCCTGCTGTTTGGGTTTTGGAGTTACCATTCTTGGAATCTTTTAGAGTCTCATCCTATTTCATGAGAGTTAGGGCAGGACACAGGAGCTCTGGTAGCATAGTGCCTAAGGCACTTGACTGCTAACCAGAAGGCTGGCGGTTCAAACCCACCAGCCACTCCTCGGAAGGAAGGTTGGGCAATCCTGCTTCCGTAGTGATACTGCCTCAGAAACCCAAGGAGGGGTCGCTATGAGTCGGGGCCAACTCGACAGCAAATAACAACAACAACAACAACAGGGCAAGACACACAAACACCATCAAGGCCATTGTTTCAGAGAGCATTTCCTCAAATGTAATAGTAGTTCTTTGCAGAAAATGGTATTGTGAAAAGAATACTTACAGGGTTTGTTGGTTTTTTTTATGCTCTTTCTCTCCCTCCCTGCCCTCTTTCTCCATTTACCATATGTGGAACTAGCCAGGGCAGGGGTGGGTGAGGCCAAACAGCTTGCTGTTCCTCAGGTCATGGGCTTCCACACATTCCTGCTCATGGCCTGGGATGTAGGAGCCCACTCAGACTCTCCATCCTCTCTGCAGGTGCCCTGGTGGACCAAGGCATCTTTGAGGAACTCACAAGAGACTTCCTGCCACAACTATCAGAGAAGATGCAGGACCTGGGGGTGATCTCCAGCATCTCACTCTCTTGGTTCCTGACCCTCTTCCTCAGCGTCATGCCCTTTGAGAGTGCTGTGGTCATTGTCGACTGCTTCTTCTACGAGGGCATCAAGGTTGTACTGCAAGTGGCTTTGGCCATCCTGGATGCCAACATGGAGCAGCTACTGGGGTGCAGTGATGAGGGCGAGGCCATGACCATCCTGGGCAGGTGACTCCCACTCTACCTTCCTCCTGTCCAGGGAGTTGCCACATGCTGTCCCGTGGCTGGCAGAGCCCACCCTCTGCCGTAATTGTGTCCCCCATGTGCCAGGCCACTCCCAGAACAGGCTCTCCTGAGAGCCATCACCCTAGAGAGACTGATAAATGCTGGGGAAAGTGGGAAGATCCTGCCTTGCCAAAGCACACCTCTCCCTTCCCCTGGGCCCTTCCCCCCCCCCATCCCTGGAGAAATCTCAGTCATCTGCATGCTCATTCAGTGGGAATCTGCAAACAAGGCCCCCGTGCCTATGAGTTGTCTAGACTGATAGCTACCTTTTGTCCTGTATCACTGCAGATACCTGGATAATGTGGTCAACAAGCAGAGTGTTTCTCCTCCTATCCCACATCTCCATGCCTTGTTGACCAGTGGTGATGACCCACCTGCAGAGGTGGACATCTTTGAGCTCCTGAAAGTGTCATATGAGGTCAGTACTCCAGGGCTGGTAGACCAGGGCACTCCTAGGCACATGCTCCACAAGGCAGTGAGTAGGCGGGTAGTGGCTTGGCACCATGGGCATCCCTTGTCTCACTGTATCCTCTCTGGCCTGTAGAAATTCAGCAGCCTGCGGGCCGACGACATTGAACAAATGAGATTTAAACAGAGGCTGAAGGTGATCCAGTCCTTAGAGGACACAGCCAAGCGGAGTGTGGTACGGATGAGGCTCCGGTCATTGGGCTGCAGGTGGGGGGTGAGGTGGTCCAGATGACACTCCGGTCCTTGGGCTGCAGGCAGGGGTCAGGGTTGGGTGGTAGCCCTGGGCAGAGGGCTGTTCCATGTCTCCAGACCCCTCTGCAGGAAGGGTGGGCTGCAGAGTTCCATGTAGGAGCCTGTTCCTAGTGTCCTGGGTCTGCATTTGAGGATGCAGTGTATGACTAGAATCCAGGAGGGTAGTCATGAATTTGGAGCAGCAGGAGAGGTCCCAGTCATTTTTCTGCTCATGGGTTGGCCTGTGAAAATGCCTCTGATGCCCCACTGCCTGCAGGCTGTGGCCTCCCACCCTGGCCTTTGTCCCTTCCCCTTGAGTCACTACTCTCTCCATGCCCTTTCTCCACCTTAAGCTTTCTCCTCATCTCTGTAAGAGATTAGGTCATCTCTAGGGATGCCCGCTGCCTGGCACCTGCCACCCTGTGCCACAGTCTCTTTGCTCACCACCCAAGCGAGGAACTTCTTTCTTCATATTCCCAGCCCTTCCTTTCAGGCCCTGTAGCTGTAAGGACATTTTGGTCACAAGCACCAGAAATTGACTCTGACTAAGTAAAATGGGAATTGTCTGGAAAGTTCCAGAACACCTTCTATAGACCCCATACAAGGATCTTTCCAGGGGCCCATGCAACAGGAGCTAAATAAGTACTCCTCACTCCACGTCCCTCTGCTAGGTGTCCAGGAGAGAGAGGCTGACCAACCACCCATGTGGCACAAACTACACTGAGGCTCCCCTGTGCCCAATCCAAGGAGCTTGGGAAGTTTGACCCAGCTAAATGGTTGACAAGAGAAGGGCATGGTGACCATGCCCTTGCTCCTGAATGGCAATCAGCCACTGGACCACCCTTACTTGTATGTCCAGCTGGAGACACTGAAAGGGTAGTTGGTGTCTCTGTCATTGTCCATAGGGTGATTGTCTCAAAGAATGTCTTGTTTTTAAACTGTAGCAGGAACTTGAGAATCCATCAGCGCATCCTGTTTCTTTTTCTTCCTAGGTCCGAGCTATACCTGGCGACATTGGTTTCTCAATTGAAGAGCTAGAGGATCTGTACATGGTGTTTAAGGTGACAGCCAGGAGCAAACACATGCCACACATGTACACACACCCTCTGGGCAGTGAGGATAGCACCCCACCCTGGTCCCCTAAATGTGTCCTCAGCATAGAAGTCTCCTGCCAGGAGAGAAACAAAACAAAACCAAACTCACTGCCATTGAGTTGATTCCGACTCATAGCGACACCCATTGGGTTTCTGAGGTAGTAAATCTTTACAGGAGTAAATTGTTCCATCTTCCTTCCACGGAGCAGCTGGTGGGTTTGAACCACCAACCTTCTGGTTAGCAGTCAAATGCCTTAGGCACTACACCACCAGAGCTCCTTGCCAGGAGAAAAGTAGATTCAAAAGCACATTCAGATGCTATGACCATGAACCTCACAAGGTAGAATTTGGGCATTCTTGGAGTTTAGTCAGGGCACTGTTTCAGGAATAGAAAATCAAATCAAGTCAGCTTACATGGAAGAGAGACGATCTGCTCACACAACTGTAAAGTCTAGGGTTGAACAGCTTTAGGCATGGCTGGATCCACTTGCGTGTTCCCCAGACTGCCCTTCCTGCAGTGGCAGGATGTTAGCAGCAGCACCAGATCATCTTATCCTCTCAGTTACCCCAGTGAAAAGAGAATTTTTCTTTCCAAGTGATTTTAACAAAAATTCAGCATCAGTTACTGGCCTGACACAGTTACGTGCCTTTCTCTAACACGTGTGCTCTGGCCATAGGGTGGCGTCTTCTACTAAGCAGACTCAGGTTGTGCATTCACCCCACCCGACACTGGCAGTGGGGCTGGTGTATGCCCCTTTCTACCCACAGTCTGAGAATGGGGCAGGAGAGTTCCCCAAGAAAATTGGAGGTGCTGTTAACAGAAGAAGGAGAAAGGGTGTGCTAAAGAGGGGGCAAAATCAGCAAACACAATACTTCTTTCCTCTCTCCCTGCCACTTGCCTTTTGTTTCTCCAGCTGCTTCTAGTTGAATCCATGAGGTGACTGCAGTGCGGTGGCCTTAGGTCAGAAGAGTCAAACCCCGTTTCTGCCATTTGCCTGCTGTAGCCCGCTGTGCTTGTGGCCATGGCCTGCTGTGGCCCACTGCATGGGCTGCCAAGTGTTCTGTCAGCTCCTGTAGCTAGTGGTACCTCCATGAGCGGTTCTGTGAGGGCGCAGAGAGTCTAATCCAGTGCTCACTGCCCCTGGGGCTCTGCCCACTGGATGGAGGAGGGTGTGTCTAGCTGTCCTAACAGCCTGGGCAAGGGACCAGGCTGCTCACTGAACTGTGTCTCCTACAGGCCAAGCACCTGACCAGTCAATACTGGGGGAAAAACCGCACCACTGCCATCCGTAGGGATCCTAGTCTACCCTACCTGGAGCAGTACCGGATTGATGCCAGCCAGTTTCAGGAGCTCTTTGCCAGCCTAACTCCCTGGGCCTGTGGCTCTCACACACCTGTGCTGGCAGGACGCATGTTCCGGCTCCTGGATGAGAACAAGGACTCACTCATCAACTTCAAGGAGTTCGTGACAGGCATGAGTGAGTGTGAGGAAGCTCTCTAGTGCCTGCCTTAGCCTGTCCACCCCATTGCAACAAGAAGAGGGCAGTTTTGACCCCTCCTCTCTTGACCACTGGAGACAAAAGGACATCCAGTGGGGCCCCTCCCCTTACTGCCATTCCCTAACTCAGCCCAGCCCAGGTCTGCAGGTCCAGAGGAGGCCTGAGCCTTCTGGCAGGGTATGTGGTGAAGCAGGAGAGAGGGCCCCAGACTGGGAGGTGGCTCCCCACCAGAAGGGAGGTGCTCTGAGCATAGCCAGCAACAGGGCCTTGGAGCCTTTACTGGTGGACCCTCCTCTCTGGGTTTTCTCCACAGGTGGGATGTACCATGGGGACCTGACAGAGAAGCTCAAAGTGCTGTATAAGCTGCACCTTCCCCCAGGTAGGAGCCTCCCCACCCACTCCCCATTGTGGGCATCTCACTTATCCAGAGTTCGGAATGCTAGTGTTACAAGGTTGCCTATGCCTTTGTGAGACCAGTGGGCCAGAGGCAGCATGGTGGGCTCACAGGGCATGATAGAGGTCTCTGGTGCCAATATCGGGCTGTGGAGGAGGAGAAGAGAAGGAAGAACTCCTAGAACAGGGCCATGGTCTGGGGAGGGATGTAGAAGGTAGTGCCCTCAGTACCAGGAATCACTGGGTAACATGAGGGATAAGGGTTCCAGACAGAGTATTGGGCAGCTCAGTTGAAAAACCGTGAGGGACTTGCATAGGTGGAAATTTACATTTGGAACTGGAATCCTCGGGTTTGTCTTAAATTTCTTAAAGATTCCTGTGTATTCTCAGAAATTTAGCTTATGGGCATCACCCAGGGCCATGGGGCCACCCAGGGGATTCCATTGGGTGGGCACGAGGAGGCCTGCTTCTCTCTGGCTCCTCTAAGCAGGAACCTGGCCCTACTTAGGACATTAAGAGATTGGCCCTGGGGGCACAGATCAGCCACCATGGTAAGGTCCAAGCCAGGGCAAGGGGAGGACTCAAAGAAAGGCAGAGCCCCACACTTACCAGGTTCCTGCTGTGTGCTAAGGACTCATATTGGCTCAGCAAGGGCAGGAGGTGCTCAAGAATTCTCCAAGGAGAAGGTTATTCCATTTCCACGGGAGGAAACTGGGATGCAGCATAGGAAGATGACTGCCTGGCACCCAGCCTCAGTGAGGGCCCCCTAGGGTCTCCACCAGCCCCACAACCCACCAAGCTCAGTGTGTTCTTGCACAGTGATCTCTGGGTTCTTCAGGATCAACTAGAGGAAAAGTCCGAGCACCAGTGCCTGGCCTGCACCCCAGAGATTCTGACCTGATCTGAGATGGGCCTAGATGGGTAGTTTTCGAACACTCCCTATTTTAGTGTCCTGGAGCTGCTGTAACAAAACACCACAAAGTCTGATTTTGGAGCTTCAGCAGGGCCATGCTGTCTCTGAAGGTTCTTGGGGAAGAGCCTTCCTTGTCTTTTCAGTTTCTGGCAGCCTTGGACATTTATTGGTGTTTCCTGGGTTGGAGATTCATCTTCACATGGTGTCCTCCCCCTGTGTGAACATGTCTCCATGTCTGTTCTCCACTTGTATGTGTTGTTCTTGTGTGCTTTTCAGTCAATTCCAACTCATGGTGATGTTATAGTACAGAGTAGAACTGCCTCATAGGGTTTCCAAGGCTGCAGTCTTTATGGGAGGAGCTCTGATAGTGCAATGGTTAAGGCATTCAGCTGCTAACTAAAAGGTTGGTAGTTTGAACCCACCAGCTGCTCTGTGGAAACATGAATCAGTCACTATGAATCAGAATGGACTTGATGGCAGTGAGTAATCTTTATGGGAGCAGATTGCCACATCTTTCTCACAGAGCCACTGGGTAGATTCAAACCGTCGATCTTTTAGTTAGCAACCAAATGCTTAACCACTGCACCACCAGAGCGCCTCTCCTTTTATGTAAGGCTCTAGTTATGTAAGATTGGGACCCACCTTACTCCAGTATGACCTGGTTAACTTGACTGATACCATCTGCAAAGAAAAACCCTATTTCTCCAAACAAGGTCACATTGACAGATACAGGGGCTAGGACGTCAACATAACCCTTAACAGTCCCCAGGTGATTGTTGTATGCAGTGGAGTGGGAAAACCCTGCTCTTGAGCTGTGTTCTCACTGACAGCTGGTTTTTCTCCTTTAATAAAGTTAAGAGCCATGGCATGTGGGACCTCTAGGAGAGGGTGAAAGCTTGGGCTCCACTGCCTCTGGAGTCTGACTCTGCCAAGGGAGAAGGCCCCAGCTGGACAGACCCCATCTTGGCTGGAGCCTATGGATAAGGGCACACAGGGCTGCTTCTGCCACCCCAGCCACCTGTGCCTGCCCTGCCTCACCCTTCAGCGCTCAGGGATGTTGGCCCAGGTGACTGTGGCTGGCTCACTAACATGCACATGCATTCTCTCTCATGAGGCAGGCATGATAAAACTTCTCCCACAGTCTCCCTTAGTTCCAGGGGTGCAGAAGGCCCGCTCCAGAACTCTGTGTGTTGGCACCCCTGTGTACTGCCCTAACCACTACCAGCGAATCCATGGGGGAGGCCAGCCAGTATTTACCAACATGTGTATCAGGATGTGTAATATGACGAGAGCACACTGCATAGCTGAGGTCTGCAGGTGTGTCTGTAGGAGCAGAAAGTGTACAAGAGGATGTAGCAAACCAGTTCTCCATCGGGCAGGAGAGACCACCTTCACTGCCCACCCTTCGCAACTGCTTCAGGCACAATCTAAAAATGAAAAAGTAATACAAAACAAATCAGTCCTTGCTGCAAGCACATTGCCACATGTTGTGATAAGTGGGTCCTAAGCCATGGGGCCAACTATGGGGATAGATCTATGAAGCCTTGCACTTGCTTAGAGTTGATGGATCCTTTGTTCTCTCACCCTCACTTCTCCTTGTCTGAGCATAGCCTTGAGCCCAGAGGAGACTGAGTCAGCCCTGGAGGCCGCCCGCTATTTCACAGAGGACAGCTCCTCAGAAGGTGAGCCAGTTCTCCCACCCTACACCATGGGCTGCCCCATTCCTCTCTGGCCCACAAAGGTGAACCCTGCCCAACGAGGGCCTGCTGGCATGGGCCCTGCCCTGAAAGCAAGGGGAAGCAGTGTCTCTCCCCGAGGACTCTTCTCTAGGGTTCTCCCACTCCCCCTGAGGCAGCCTCTCCTTAGCCACCTCCACTCCCTGAGGCCTCTCTCCTGGGGTACCTCCACTCTCCCTGAGACAGCCTATCTCTTGGGGTACCCTACTCCTTGAGGTGGCCTCTCCTGGGAACACCCATAGTCTCCCTAAAGCCTTTCTCCTGGGGCGCCCCCACTCTCTAAGGTGGCCAGCCCCTCCGTGTTCTCACTCCTATTTCTCTGTGTCTCTGCCTCCCTGGACCTTGGCCTACCCTCCCCATGCCCTCCTCTCCTCTGCTGTCCCATCCAGCTTCTCCTCTGGCCTCAGATCTGGATCTTTTCCTGCCCTTGGAGGTACAAGGTCAGTCCTAGGGGCGGCCAGGGTGCTCCCTGGTGCTGGGCTTCCCCAGAGCCTCGGGTTAGCCTCCTGCCACCCCCTATACAGTCAGAAAGCCCTCCAGAACTTCACCATGACAAGGACCAGGAACCAGGCCACCCCTCTGTCCTCAGTGTCTGGTGGGCCAGTTGGTGAACAAGGACAGCATGATGAGGTGTGGCTCAGATGCCTGAGTGCCAGCTCTCAGCCATGTGTACAACTTATTCTAATGCCATGTTCCTAGGAACAAAATTCAAAATGCTGTGATTACAGCAATGTGAAATAGACGGAGCCAGACATGTGGATACTAGAGGGAGATGGTTGTAGATGCTTGCCTCAGAAAACTTTTTAATGTTCCACATAATGTTTTTGTTAAGGAAAAATACACACCTTGAATGCCTTTTAAGACAAAATCCTGTGCTACACTTAAACCCAGTTGGAAGCATTTGATCTGGAAAGAGGGGGCATTCTAGTCCCTGGGGTTTTGCCAATCCAGCTGGTATGCGTAAAGCCCCTATAAAATGGGTAACTGTGCCCCATAATTTCACAAGGAACTGCCCCAATAAGAAAAAGAAAAATAACATGTGTTAAGATAACCATGGCAGACCTGTAGATGGCTTACTTTGAATATTAAGTTTGAAGACTTTGATTTCAAGTATACAAAACCAAAGAAGCAGGTGCACCTCTCCTGCTATGCTTAGAACCTGGGCAAGTTGGGAATGCCTAACTCTTGTCCCACATGCTCCTGGGAGAGGCCAGGGACAGTGGCACAGAGCCCTGTCTTCAGAAGCTGAAGCCATATCCCCCATGGCCCATAGCTGGCATAGCAATCACATGTCAAATTGATAATCAGGAGTTCTCTTGAGTTTTTCCCTTTTTTTTAGCAGAAAATACAGAAATCATTAGTTCTTAGACTTTTTGTCCATAATAAATATCACCATTCATTAGAAAAACAGTATGGTTGGCATTTCAAATACCAGCATGGTCGACACTGGTGGGCAGGTTTTAGTGCAGCTTCCAGACTGAGCCAGAGTAGGAGGAAATTAAAAATGTTGTGGTAAGACTTCTTTTCCTTTGAAAAAGAGAACGTGAAAGTTTAGTGGCTTCTTTTCATGTAATCAGATGAAGAAATTGGTAGATTCCAGATTTCATGGAGGCTGGATGAACCCCAGAAAATATTACCCTTAGATAATATTTGAACCTTAAATCAAAAGTATCCCCTGAAATCTTAAAACCAAGCAGTAGTCTAGCTTACCTAGTAAAATATGTCTGCCTTGAACATTATGTTCTTTTAAGAACTATAGGGGATCACATTGACAACAGGAACTCAAAAATTGGATAGGAACCTTAGGAAGCAGTGAGTTTATGTTAATGGGGGAGGAACAACTCAGAAAAGAGGGTGAGAATGGTTGCAAAACTCAAAGAATGTAATCAGTGGCACTGAATTGTACATGTAGAAGCTGCTGAATTGGTATATGTTTTGTATATATTCTCAACAACAACAATAAAATTAGAAAAGAAATGGCCAGGCCTTTGTTGCTGGTGTTGATGGGGCAGGTGCCACACAGGGCCCATACTCTACAGAAGAACCAAAGACCAGACTTCTCAAAGAATCATGACATAAGAAGAATGTTCTCCATGTTCTTTTTATTTTTCCGGTGATCCAGAAGTACTTCCACAGGAAGAACAAGAGGGAATTGGCAACGAGGATGTCCGAGAAAAAAGAGGAGGTATAGCCTGTGCTCCAGCTGGTGCTGTTAGGGAGCCTCTCCCTCCCCTGGGGGAGATGGCACACAGCCCTGGCACTGCACCTCCTGTGGAATGGGTCTGATGCTGTGCTCCCTGTGGAGTAGGGCGTGACTGGCACAGCTCAGCAGCTGCCCACACAGGCTCAGTTCTCTGTCAGCCCCGGGCTGTCACTGTGGCGCCTGGGACACTCCCACCATCTCCTGTTTTCTGCCAGCTCCCTCTAGGTTGGCCAGTATCGTCCCTCCTATGCTGTGCCCCTGCCAGCCTTCTGCATGGTTCTGTCACTATCTTTGGGGAGGCAAGTCTGAACCATCTTCATCAGCGTAGGTCAGACCAACTTTGGTGAAACTCAGAGGAGCCCCATGGGTGTTCTATTTTTTTCCTATCATCATCTCTCCAAATGCAGGGGTGTTTCATAGCAGGGCCTAGGTTACTCCATCCCTAAGAATAACCAAGGCTGCTTTCCTGCTACCAGCCCCCAAACCTCTTTATCCCCTTTTACAGATGGAAATGAATATCTTTCTTTTTTTTCCTCACCACACAGAGGAGAAGGGAACCAGTCCTCAAGACTGTCGGCACTACCTCCGAATGTGGGCCAAGGAGAAGGAGGCTCAGAAGGAGACCATCAAGGATCTTCCCAAGATGAACCAGGTAGGCTCAGTCAGAGTACACAACGGACATTTCTAGAGAGTTCCAACCAAAATAGACCTCACACCTTCACCTCACCCCGTATGCTCCAGACAACCTCTAGTAAGGTAGGACCTGTTCCCAAACTCCAGATACCTCAGTGTGGGATGGTGGTCAAGCAGTGATTTGAGAAAGACAATGGCTAAGGCTTCGAGGTGCAGTACAGGTGATGTTTCCATGGTTACAGTATGCTCAGATTTAATCCTTATCTATAAACTAACATTAGAAAAGGTTAGTTTATAAGACTTCCCAGGCCCTCCCCCACACTTCTGCACACAGGGCCCCCCACCCTCTCCATGACCAGGGAGGGCTACCTATTTGCTGGTCCTAGACTGGGGGCTCAGTGTCTACCTAGGGCATCACCACCAGGAATTCGCAGACCTTGGATTCATACCCCAGACATCTAACCAGGCCTGGGGCCAGGCCTAACCCCAGTTGTCCCCAAGGAGGGCCATACAGCTTGACCATGCCCACATCTGCAGGCCTGAAGGACAGGTACCCTGTGAAGGGAAGCTCCATACCAAGTGTGAAGTTGAGGTGCCAACCCAGACCACTCCATCCCACTTTCCCACACTGACCCAGGTTGTACTTATAGCTCCATAGAGAGCTTCCTTGAAAGACAAAGCTGAAGTTGCTTCTGCCTAAAAATGTAAAAAGCCTGAGGTGATTCTGAAACACAGAGTTGTTCCTCCCCCATTAACAAACTCACTGCCTCCTAAGGTTCCTATCCAATCTTTTGAGTTCCTGTTGTCAATTTGATTCCCTATAGTTCTTAACATAATGCTCAAGGCAGACATATTTTACTAGGTAAGCTGGACTACTGCTTGGTATTAATATTTCAGGGGATATTTTTGATTTAAGGTTTAAATATTATCTCAGGGTAATAGTCTCAGGGTTTCATCCAGCCTCCATGAAGTCTGGAATCTACCAATTTCTTCATCTGATTACATGAAAATAACTTGACCAGGGTCATGCAGCCCTAAAAAGGACTTTCTTAAAACAGAAAACAAGTTTTGGTGAGGATGTAGAGAAACTGAAACCTTCATTCATTGTTGATGGGGTTGTAAAATGGCACAGCTGCTGTGTGGAAGTTCCTCAAAAAGTTATCATAGACTTACTGTATTACCCAGAAGTTACACTCCTAGGTATATATACCCAAGAGATGTGAAAGCAGAAATGCAAACAGATACTTGTACACCACTGTTCACTGAAGCACTATTCAAAATCGCCAAAAGGTAGAAACAACCTAAGGATCTATTAACAGATGAATGGATAAAGAATATATACGTATATACAATGGATTATTATTCAGCCATAAAGAAAAATGAAGCTCTGATAAATGGTATGACATGGATGAGCCTGAATCAAATAAGTCAAACATAAAAAGACAAATATTGTAGGATCCCACTTATATAAAGTATGTAGAACAAGCAGTATATAGAGACCAGGATGGGTTGAAGGAAGAAATGGCAAGTTATTATAAAAGGGGCACTGAGTTTCTACTAAGGGTGATAGAAAAATTTGGAAGTGGATAGGGGTGATGGTTGTATAACATGGTGAATGTAGTTAATGTCACTGAGTTGTACATGTATAATGGCTGAAATGGCAAATATTTTGTTATATATATTTTACCACAATAAAAACAAAATGAAGGACTTTCTTTTCCAGCTGCTTTTCTTTCTGCACGCAAGGATGCGGTCTGACTGGGGCATCTCCCTCTTTCTCTGTCCATTCAATTAAGAGAAAGATCTATTTCTATTGTGACTTTCTGAACCCAGGTACCACAAAGCTGTGTGACATTGGTCAAGTTATTTTCCCACTCTGAGCCTCAGTTTCCTAACCTGGGAATGGGAATGATAAGACACATGTTTGTAAAGATGAGTAACAAGACAATATTAGTCAGAATAACAACCTCATCAGTCTGGCTATGTAGCCTGCCCCATTGTTTACCATTTCTTTGTTCTCTTTCTGTTTTTCTCCTAAAAAGGAGCAGTTTATTGAGCTGTGCAAAACACTTTACAACATGTTCAGTGAAGATCCCATGGAACAAGACTTGTACCATGCCATCGCCACTGTGGCCAGCCTCCTCCTCCGCATTGGTGAGGTCGGTAAGAAGTTTTCAGTCCGAACGGGCAGGAAGCCCAGAGACAGTGCCTGCGGTGGGGACCACAATGGAGCCCCTGCAGAGGAGGAATCCCAAGGGCCTGAGCTCCATCAGGATCCAGCTCAGGAGCCTCAGCTGCCAGCTGCAGGGGACCCCCAGGCCAAAGCTGGAGGAGACACCCACCTTGGGAAGGTGCCACAGGAGAGTCAGGTGGTGGGCGAAGGGGGCAGTGGTGAGGGGCAGGGCTCGCCCTCCCAGCTTCTGTCTGATGATGAAACCAAAGATGACATGTCCATGTCCTCCTACTCGGTGGTCAGTACGGGCTCGCTACAGTGTGAAGACCTCATGGATGACACAGTGCTGGTGGGCGGAGAGGTCAGCAGCCACATGGCCTCTGCCCGCTGTGAGGGCACCGTTGATGCTGACTGGTGCATCTCCTTTGAGCAGATCCTGGCCTCCATCCTGACAGAGTCTGTGCTGGTGAACTTCTTTGAGAAGAAGGTAGACATTGGGCTCAAGATCAAGGACCAAAAGAAGGTGGAAAGGCAGTTTAGCACATCCAGTGACCATGAACCATCTGGAGTTTCCGGCTGACCTCTGTGTCAGGGTAGCTTGGACCATGCTACAGAAATGGTAGCTGGCCTCCCTTGTTTCCTGCTTCCTTCCCTGTCCTTCCCTCTTTCTGGTCTCTCCTTAGAGATGCACCCCTCCAGGTCTCCCCAAAAGCAACAAGAGTTGTAAATGGAAAGAAGGCCGATGCAGACCCAGCTACCTTAGACCCCAGGCCTGGGTCTCCAGGGTCCCTAGAGGCAGGCAGCTGCCTTTGAGGCATAGGAAAGATTACCCCATCTGCCTCTGTGCACAGCAGGAACCCACCCAAGCCTGGTCCACCCTCTACCCTGTAACCCTCTGCAACTGAGTGCAGGCATGCTGTATCCAGACCACACTGTCTCCTCCCGTCACAGGACACTCTCCTGCAGCTGTGCAGTCCAGGGGGTCCTTTCCTGCCATTTGGCACCAGGTAGGGAGGTCATTTGCTTGTTGGGCACCAAATGGTAAAACCCTTGAGATGCTCTCCAGGAGCCCCTGAGCTTGTGCCCCTGTCAGGGGCCGAGAGAGGACTGAGAAACACGATGCAGAGAACAGTAGGAGTGTGGGTACAGCACACAGGTGTTACTTTAAATGCTCTTTCAGTGCATCATCCTCACCGTTAACTTCAAAAGCACATCCCTCAGGTCCAGATATATTTCCTTGTATTCATTTCACTTGGTTAAAAATCACACTGTGCTCAATGCCTTAATAAATCCCTAAAAGAAATTAAAACTACACTGTGTACAGTGCCTAAATAAATCCCCTCTGCACTGCATAGGCCACCTGGCTTCTCCCTGGGAGAACACTTACTCCCCTGCCCCAGAGAATGGGGCACAGGAAGGGGCTGATTCAGGCTGGGCAAGACCTGTGCTGACCTGTGACAGGGGAACCTTCCTAAAGGTTCCTCAACAAGTCTAAGTGCAGGAGGATGCCAGTCCACCTGGGCTGCAGAAGCTGACTGTGGGGACACAGGTGACCAGTGGAGACCTCCCAGGCTGCATCAGAGAGGATAGAGCCCCTCCCTTGCAGCAGGACATGGA